CTCACTGCTGCCATAAAGGATTTCCTTTGATCCTAAACCTGCCCTTTCAGCTGAGATTCAGGATTAACTCTGTTGTATTTCCCAAGCAGCCAGGCAGTCAGTGGAATGTCTGAATCCAACTACTGCTAGCAGCAATGTCTTTTCAGACTTTCAGGAGCATCTACATGGTCTGTTGAAGACCTGGCTCAAACACTGCGCTGGGCAGGAGCATGATGTGTAAAAGGAATTAAAAATATTTTAAAAATATTTAACCAATCACCCTCATAGTCACATAAGGCAGGATCTTACAAGGAGGCTGAGGGCAAATGCACCTGTGTCAGCTGAGGAATGACAGAGTGTGTCTGTAGCCTCAAGGGCTCTGTGAATACCACCACGGGCCAAGCAAAGAACCAAAAAGCTTCAGCCTAGAACCCTCCTGTGTCTGAAGCCAACACTGGAAACCAAGAAAAGCTAAATCTTCTCTCACCTTCTACACCTGACTAGCTAGCTGTACTTCCCATCTAGACATACTTGAGGAAACAAAGAAAGCATCTAGGCCTATCCATAACTCTGTGGGGTTTCAGCTGAACAGGAGAAAGAATTCTCTAGTCAGCTACATGATTTTTTTTTGTCTTCAATCCTCTGAACTGAAGATAAGTTTGATATTGATATCCTCAAGCTGAGGGCTTGTCTTTACTGTCAGACAGGCATACAATTTAGAAAAAGCTGTTTCTGCAGCACATCTGAGTGATTTATTCATTTAGTTCATTAGGCCAGACATAAATAAAAGATGTGGGTGTCAGTCCCCTACATGCAGCTTTAATTTGCTTGCTACATGTCTGGTGGAGGTCACTGTCACTTACCACCTCTGCACTTGGTGTGACAAATGTCCTCCCACACTCCAAGTGCTGCCACTGCAGACAGCAGCAACTGCAGCGAGCACAGACCAAGCCAGGAAGCCTCTAGATCTTAATTATAAAACCATAAAAGAAACCAACTGCCTCTGAAGCTCTCTTACTAGGAAACAAATGAGAATGGGAAATTTATTTCCAACCATAAATCCCAAAGCCTTCAGTTTAATTTTTCCCAAGTTAACTTTCTCACCTAGCTAAGCAGCACTGCCTTCTATTATTAGCTTCTGGCCCAATATCAGCTGACCACCATCAGTCAAACTGTCTTCATCTCAATGAGCTCAGGGACTCCCAAGGAACTCTGTGGATGCTGACTTGTGCTTGCAGCCTCTAATTATATTCTAACAGATAATGGAGCATTTAAACTCAGGGAGGATACATTAAACTTGTAAGTGGATCAAAATCCTGGACACAACCACAGCCCATAGGATTACTTCCTGGAAACATCAAGCTTAGAGGAAAGGCCCTCACCAACTGTCTGTTTCCCCATGACAAGTTTTTTAAGAACATATTTTCAGCCTCAAAGGCTGTTTGCTCTGCTTTCCAACTGCAGCATGTCTTTAGAATTCATTACATTGTCAGTTGAGTATCTGGCTTGATATTAAACCATCTGACCAGGCCAATGGCTACTTGACTTATCAGACAATCATAACAGTCACACAAATTGAGGCTGAGGAGGTGAAATTGTTCCCCCAAGTGAAATTGTAGCCCCTGTTCTACTACCAAGTAGCTTCTCAGCTTCACATTTGCTTGTTTTCCTCACCACAAGATTCTCTTCCCTCCATAAAACTCAGGACCATCATATATTCTGTTCCCAGCCTTAGGGTGAGGAGCAGGACTGAGCTCCCTCCTGATGCCTGTGTCTTGCTGGTGACTCCCTCCCACACACAGGTGCAGGCAGAACACTTGCACTCTGAATTCAAACTCCAGCCCCTTTTGGGGACCTGCCAGAGCAGAAACTCTGCCCTGCAACTTAAGCACATGACCATGCTGAGGGGAAAATCCTTTAGACTCTCATTATCCCAGACACAATACACACCCAGAAGCATGTGGGGAAATAGGGTAAACCTACATTTTACAAAGCAGTAACAGCAACCTGTGTGTGGTGAAAATAAATCCAGAGAAGGCCTCCTGTGCAGTCTGGCTCTGCCCTGGCCCAGGCTATTTTGGAGATTCTAGCTTGTATTGCTGTAGCAGACACAGACCTACTGCAGTGATAAATCTAGGGGCAAACACAGGGAGCAAAGGGAAAGGGCTAGCTGGGAACGGGTGGAGAAAGCCTGGAAAATAAACTCTGCTGCGGCTCCCTCAAGAAAAATCCCAAATAAGGGCTGTGCTTTTGGATGATGGCCAATTCATCATCTCCTGATGGGAGGTGCATGGCCAGAGCAGCAGAGCTGACATCAGGCATTATATCATTACAGTCATTACTGCTCCATTAGCAGGGCTTCAGGCTGCTCAAATGACAGCCCAGGAACCAAATTGTTTGTCTTTACTCCTTCAGCATAACGTTTAGCAGAATTTCAGGAGCCCTTTTAGACTCACATTCTGCCAGCATCAGAAGTTTCTACCAGGTCTGTGGGCAGTGCCACTGACGTCCAGAGCAGCCATTTCTGTGGACACTGAAGTGTCCCAAGTACTCCCCCTGCACACAAACTGCTGCTTACCAAAGGCTTTCCATTTTTCCAGAGCCTAAGAGGAATGCTAACTTTTACTTACAGGTACAAGGACTCTCCCAGCCCAGGAAGAAGTAATTGCTGACAAAAGCACACCTACAAAGCCAAGGGTGTGACTCATATAATGACTCCTTCCCACTAACCTCCTCTTCCCATTCACTACCAACACTGTCAGACGCTTTTTAAGAAAGAATTAACCCCACCACGTTCACAGTGGCATTTAGCCACCTATATACCTTTCAAAATATGACACAAGTGCTTTTAACCAACAACACTCTTTTTACTGAAGTACAACTGATGCATTTTGCTTTCAGAAGTACTTTTGAATATTTCCTTATAAAATGAGTAAACAGTAGCCAGTTTTATCAGGATAGCTACACTGACCAAAGTTTTGAAGTGAGAATGAGTAAAACATTTTTTTACTCTAACTTACATTTCAGTGAAAGATATTTAGGTTATCTCCTCATAATTTAAATTTTGGCTTAAATTTTTTAAATGTTTAAAACTACGTCTTTTTTGGGACAGGGAGGAGTAGTCACATTAAAACTATAACTAATGCTTAGGTGATTCTCTATGAAAAGGTATTTTTTTCAGGAAGTAAACAACTGGTTTAGGAGGTAAGGATGGCAAGAACCTCTGTATAATTGGATGAGCAATTATTTCACAAGAATGAAATTTAGTAATCTTCATCAATGCAGTACAGAAAAGGATTACAAATCACTGCACATATATCAAAAGCAGCACTGATAGAAAACATATTATTTCTCCTTACTGCCACCTGTATCAAGTAATGATGAAGTCTAATTCTTTTTTTTAATAATTAAAAACAACCTAAGGGTTATTTTTTTAACCTCAATAACTCAAAACAACTTTACCTGTTCTCTCATCTTGCAGCCACTGGGTCAGAGACTCAGGAGAAACTATTAATTTAAAGAGAAACCTTTCCCACTGTAACTGTACAGCCAAAAATGTCCAGAGTTCCCTAAAGCCTCTCCATTTCTGAGCCATTTATCAGATGTTCTGATGCAAACACTCGTGGGAAGTATGATCCAATGAACTAAACTGACCTAAGCTGAGCTGTGAAACCTCAAACAAGCAACTTTGCCTTCTACCAAGGACCTCATGTTTTCTTTGCTTCGAGGTTAATCAGAATCAGAGGAGGAGCTGTTACTACTATTTCTCTGTCAGATCAGGGGTCAGATCCTGATCTGGTACAATTGCTCAGTTCCACTGACTTTCACACAGTGATAACAATTCCCTCGCCTTTAGGCTGGAATCACTGACTGACCACTGACATCCACTTCACCTGTTCTCTTTGAGTGGCTCCATTATTAACAAGACTCTTTGTCCACTAAGCAAAAATATCTAATACTTGTTATTCCTTTAGTGCAATTAATTTCTTTTAAACTGTGCCAAAACAGTTTATTTTTTTTTTTTTATTGTTTGTGCAAAATGATTACTGAATGCAACAGAACCACAGAATGATAGAATCATCATGGTTGGAAATGATCTAACCAATATAAATGTACAGTGCTCTGTAAAAAACACAGGAAACCCCTTCCTCTACACAGCCTTCCTTCACCTGCCTAAGAACTCAGACATGAAACAGCTGTCTGGTACACATAAATCCATAACTGCTCATTTCTGTTCACTTCTAGGAAGAATAGAGTATGTAATAATGGGAGTACCTTCTCTTTGTGACTTACAGTCTCATTAATGCCAACAAATTAGGCCTACACACTGAACAGATCAGCAAGACTTAAAAGTCACATACAATTTTCAAGTTCACAAGAGGGACCTACAAAAAGTGCAAATTTCTACGACTTGTCAAAAAATTGTCACTGAATAAGACATAAAGATTCATGGTGTCAGTAAGCCTTGATCTTGACACAGAGCTGAAAACTGAATGCAAAGCCTCTGTGATCATAGAACATTCATGGAAATTACCATCGTGACCTCTTATCCGTGGTATTTCAGATTATTAAAGCAAAAGGACTTTTAAATCCAGCATATTTTAATTTTCCCCTTGTCCCTGTTATGCTTTGCTGCTGCTGCCAGCTCCCAGAGTCTCAGAACACCAAAGTGGAGGAAAACTGAGCTGAATTTCTGTTCCTGTGAGTTCTACACCAATACAGACCTGCAAGCATGGTAAGATCCACCCCTGCAACAACTCCTCTCTCTTCCATGGCTTTTCTGCCACAGAAAGATACAATATGTGGCCCATGAGACAGAGGAGTTTTAGTCTTGTACTGACAGAAAAACAAATTATTAGAAAACTCCAAGTATCTTGGGGCACATGCAGTCCTGCCAGGTGCTGTGTACAATTAAACATAAAGAAAGAAAACTGGTAGGAATTGGTCTTTACAACCTCTATGGGCAACAGAAAGACACCACCCCTGCCAAAACCCAAAGACATTGCTCATGTCTTACTTACATCCATAAACTCCACGTTGGCTTTTGGACCTGTGGTTTCATTAAGGATCTTAATGGCCACAGGAATCTTTACTGTTTCTCCCTCAGGGACCCAGATCCCCTAGAAAAAGGAAAAAAGAAGACTAATAAGACAACAATCAGAAAAACTTGATTCAGAGTTCTTTTTGACACAATCTGTCATGTTATGCAGATCAGTTATGGAACTCAGAATGGAGAATACACAAAATTACAAAATAAAGCAAAAAATCTGTAAAACTGCTTCTTACATCAAAACTAAACTCTGATGTAAAATGAAATATTTTGTATCAGTGAACATCCTTGATTTTCTTGTCCACAACAGGGTTTCTAAAGAGCAATGGCAGCATGGACGTGATGTACTTTTTCTAGTGACTCAGATAAAATTCTGATACTGATTTGGATATAATCAAACAAAAATCTAGATTTTCTGTCTGGATTCTGATGCCTAAATTTGAAGTTATAAGTAAACTCTCAAAACTGATTATCACCAGATCATAACATCAGGAAGGAACAGAACACCCTGAGAATAATATATTTAGAGTGAAAAATTTAGGGGCTGTTTTTTAATTACTTAATACCTGAGAATCAAAAACTTAGGTGGCTAAAAAGGAAATTTAAAATTAAAATTCACAAGCCATCTTGGGCTACTTTTTCATGATTCTTGACTACTGCTGTTTTCTTGTCAACCTCATGGCATCAGTCTCTATCATTTTATTATCTAAGTATATTCAATCTTGTTATTCATAAATCTATTCCCATCACCTTGTTGCTATAGTGGTCTGTGCTTCCTACCTTTCCTCCCCTCTTTGAGGACACATGCAGGTGCTCTGACCTACCACCTTGATTTTGCAGGTTTGGGCTGCTCCCAAAGGGTTGGGGAATTGCTTTGACTAAGCCCTACTTCATCCCTCTGAGATCTGGACATGATCAACAGATCATAAAAATGAATACTTCTTTAACTGAAGTACTTTCTCCATTGTGAGTCCCACTCTCACATCCCAGTTGTTAAAGGGTGCCCTGAAGTAACTCATCTTTTCTGTTTAAATTGAAGAATCAAGAAGTGTTACAGTTTAGCTAATGGCATTGTTTTTACTAGGTATTATTGCTGTTGCAAGACCCAGGTGACACTTGTGAAATGAAAGACGTTTATCCATCTTTCCAAAAGATGGAAGATGATAAAAGATGCTCTTAGGTAAGAACAGAAGGGCAAACCTTGGTGCCAACAAGACAGTCCAGCTTGTGTAACCCTCTTGCACACAAAAATGACTGGGGCTGACATGTTTTTGCTCACCAAGAAATAATATTTGCATGTACCATTTGATGCTGGATGAGTGTGACATTCACATTCTCTGAAAAAATCCCTTTGCCCAGGATTTTTCTCCTGGGAAGCTGAGAAGCCTCAGAGAAAAGGAAAGCAATTCTCATCTCATTGGCTTCTCCTGTGTTTTGTCCTTTGGAATGTGTTTGGAGATTGTTTACCCACAGGTGATTGTTTAACTGGTTTCTGGTGTGAGTTATTTTGTCTCTTTGGCCAGTCAGTGCCAAGCTGTGTCGGGACTCTGGAGAGAGTCACGAGTTTTCATTATTATCTTTTTAGCATTCAGTAAGTATCCTTTCTGTATTCTTTAGTGTAGTTTAGTATTCTTTACATAATATAGTATTACAAAGTAATAAATTAGCCTTCTGAGAACATGGAGTCAGATTCATCATTCCTTCTTTCATCAGGACATTTCCCAGCAAATACTATAGATGAGTTCCTTGCACACAATTCCAGTCTCCCTTCTCTGTCAGGGCTCAGGAACCACCCCTGGGACAGGCTGCTTTGCTGCAATGCAGAAGTTGCCTGCTCCAGAGGTAAAAGAGGGCACTCAGGGCTGTGTGGGGAAGGCTCTCACCTTGTACACTGTTCCAAAGGCACCAGAGCCCAGGACCTTGACTCTCTTCAGCTCTGTCTCCTTCAGGATGCGGAGCTGGGCTTGGTTGGGTGCCGTGCCGCTCGGGGTCAAGGGTTCCACCAGCTGCAAAGAAAACCCAACAGTCCCAAACACTGCTGAACACAGAGACCCGTCAGAAGTTTGTAGTGAGAGCAACCAACCCAAGGAAATACTGGAACAAGACAGTGGTGGAGTTCTATTGACCCCTGCCCTGCCAACTTCTTGGAGGGATTTTTCATCTTCAAAAGCAAACGGGCAACGCCACAAAACCAAGAGACCTGATAAAGCAAGTTCTCACTCAAATGCAGTAATTTCCACCAGAAACTGCATGATGGAATTATGAACTGGAAATTGAATTGGTGTCAGAGTAACACATCCAAGGACTTCTGATAATGGAGGCAGTATAAATATTTTCTACATGACAGAAATATAGCATTTATTATCAGTGTACCACATCCTATTTTTGCCCATTTTAGTGTCTTTTAAGTTGGCCATATTTCTTTTTAATGGCCTGGACTAAACGGCTCATCACATTCTTATTCTGTTTTGAAGAAGGGACAATTTTTCAGAACTTCTGTTTTACCACACAGGAAGACAGCTTTAGGGAGAAAACACCTTAGAGCAGACAACTAATTTATAACAGCCACTAATTTACTGCAATTAAACAATTTGCTCAAGATGTCCCAATAAACTTTGTAAATGAGCCACAATGGCACATTCAGTTAAAAATGCTCTTAGGTCTCATACCATCTCTGCCAGAAAAACAATCCTTCTTTAAAAATAAATTAAAAATACACATAGAGCACAATACTCAATGCAACACATGAAAAACATTTTGTCCCTTTACAGGATGAGGAAAATAATTCAGAGCTCCTCCTACTCAAATTGGTTTGAAAACAATGCAGCACTTCAAAGCTGCCTGTTTACAAGGCTAAATGCACCATGCTCTGCAGTTTCAGAACTACTTCTTATAGCTCTTTGGGCACTATGAACTACTTAATTTGTTGACCAAACTAATTAGTTTTGTTCAGGTAAAAATACCAGTACCTGGCAATTAACAGGTAAGAAAACATAACAAAACCAAACAGCAACAACTTGAGTGATTTCTCTTTCCACTTTAGATGTTCATTATTTATACCCTGAAAGAAAGGTTTGCTGTAAAAGAAAATTAGGCATACTGGCAGCACACTTCTGTAATTTCAGTTTGTGAAGGATGAAAAGAGGCTCTGTGCCACAGTCCACCAACATGGGAATGGCAGGGAGAGGTGGGGATGTGTTGTGGAGTTCTAAAACCAGGCTTGTAGGGTTTGATGGAGAATGATCTACAGAAAGAGTAAGTCCTGTTACAGCCTCCAGCTAGAGAGACTTCAACTAAAGCTAATTGCTTGTGTGTTTATTTCAGGATGCTCCTGATTTAATCTTCAGTTTCTCAGCCAAGACAGCAGCTTCGCCACATGTTCAGTAGGAGGCCCTGGTCCCTCAGGACTATTGCCAGCCACAGCTTTTATCTGACCAAATGAAAAATTGAAATCTGGACTTCAAAGCCAATGCAAGGAGAACCACCTGCTTAAAATAATTTATGCTTAAGTATGGGCTGATACAGTAGCAAGATTTATTCATCTAAAGGCACCGAGGATTGTTAAGCTTTCTATACAGCTGAACAGTGTTTAACAAGCAACACAAATTCTAGCCAAACATGAAGATACTTGTGCAAACAGACTGGGGATGCATAAATCATTTACTCCCAGGCTCTACAGTGGAGCTGAGTGGGAGCAGAACCCTTGGAACAGAAGAGAAAACAGCACTGTTAATAATGCCTTATCAGAGTCACTAGCTAACAACATTTCCAAGCTTTATTATCTCACAAAGGGGCATCCTAATTTAAAAATACCATAATTTGCAAAGTGTCTCAAATATCGGACTGAGGAGATTGCAGTAATCAACACTGCAGTAGCTGATAGATGTACATTTAATGTTATATTTAAATATACATCCTGGATTGCCCCCTTCACTAGTGACACTTCAGAGAGCAGGATGGAGCCATCACAGCACTCTGCTATAGCCCTGCTACATGCCATTGCCAGTAGAACTGTGAACTTCCACTGGTTAAGCTCTGTAAAGTATCTTGGCTTAATAAAATACATTATTATTACTGATCATTCTTACAGGCTTTGACAAAATCTGCACTACAAAATCTGAAACTACAAAATCTGTAATCCAGATTTTGACAAAATCTGCACTACAAAGGTATTGTAGGCACTGGGAACAACAGTAAGTTACAACATCTGCCTTTAAACATGAAGCTTGTACCAGAGCTTGTGGAAAGAACTTACGTTAGCCTTAAAAGTCAACCTAAATATGGCCAGAATGAAACCCTGTAATATTTCAGAATGAGAGCTGCTAAATGTACTGATGAACTGGGATAGAAGTTCAGTGGAGAGCAGGATGGGAGCTGAGAAATCTGGTGGGACACTTTTCCTGCTCTTTAGAAGCCATGAATCTGTACTTACACAGAAAATCAGCACCAGTTTAGTCTGCACAGGTAAGCAGAAGGATTTCTACAGGTAAGGGAAGACATGAACATCTCTAATATAAAGGCAGAGCAGCCCTGCATGCCTCCCCAGACAGCCTGTGAGGAGCAGCCGTGGCTCACCTCAGTCTCCAGGAACCTTCGCAGCGCTCTCTTCTTCTTGATGCTTTTACGCCGAACGTACACGGCGAACGTCAGGCCCATGATGACGATGATGAAGAGGCCACCAATAACTCCAGCAGCAATCAGGGGGGTTCTGGCAATCAGAATCAGAGACTTTACTTCCACAGCTAGGGGTGAGAGACCAAAGAATGCTTGGGTACATCAAACACAGTCACATGGAAAGCTCATTAACTGCCTCATGAATTCCAGCCCAGATGGGAAGTTGGGGCAAACACATTGACACGCGGTAGGAATTTGCTTGTTTTTCATCATTATGCCAATTCCATTTTTGTTTACAAACCCCCATGCACATGTGAGGAGTCGTGTGGACAAGGAAACACAACATGCATTTGGATGGCAAATGCAAATCTGCAATGGCAAAATGAGGACACAGGTATCTGCAGGCTCCTGCAAAAGATCTGCCTGTGCTGACTTTGGCTCCACCCTCATCAATTCATGGACTCCAGTATTCAGGGGAAAACAAGCCCATGAAAAATGCCCAGACTAGAAACACAATGTGCCTTCCTGAGCATGGAGGAAGTGAGAGGGAACTTTGCAGGCAAGATGTGGAGATCACCTACACAGGCAATGGAGAAATCAGGCTCCCTCCAAAGAAAAACTCATAGCAGTACCTTAAATTGGGCATTTTCACAGCACACCAACAACTTAGCAACATGAACACACTCAGAGCATTTAACATCCATCCAACAGTGGCTGGAGAGTTGCTGAAAAGATGGGTAAAACCACAGCATGAAACTGCAGAGTACAGTGGTGCTAAAACCATTGCCTGGTAAGCCCAGAACATAGATTAACTGTTGTCAAGATTGTGGAAATGTCACTGCTGTGCTCTAAAAGCCTCCCTCAGTTACATCTGAATGATGATGAAAGGTACATTACAGCCTATTAATAAAAATGTACCACACAGCTATGGAAAATTTTAGAGTCTCCCTCAGAAATACTAAATTGTTGTATAAAACAATTTTATTCTTTTTATTCTTCTTTTTACAACCTTTCCTGAAGCAGTGCCATCTCACCTGGTATGGTGCATGAAGGTGTGTCTGCAATACTACTGAGAAAGCCTCATACTCCCACATCCAGTATTTAAATTTATTTATATCCACATTTTCCCAGGGTAAACACATTAACACAAAGGCCTATTGCACTTCACAGACTTTATGATGGACTCTAAACTTGCAAATAAAGGAAGGGGAATGTTGTCTGGCTGGAAAATGGGTTATGGTGTTTGGGGAACATGAGTCCAGTACCACCTCCTCCTCCTCAAAACACATTGCCCTTTCTAAGCCCAGTGGTTACTCTGTGATTTTGAGTGCAGAGCTTAAAGAATCTGGCATATCCACCCCAAACAATGCTCCTCTTGGTTTACATGTCTTTCTACATTGCAAGAAACTCTTTAACAGGCAATTATGAAAAACACTGGCCACCAAAAGCCTCCTATGGAGCTTGTACTGCCTAATGCTCTTGAGCAGAGGAATTTTTAAAATTCATTTTTATGCTGTATGAGCAGTCATATAATTTTTAACAAACAGCACCAAACCACAGAGTGACTAAACAGGAAGGAGAACTCGGCTTTAAAGTGCATATTAATAACTAGTATAATAGTTGTCAAAGTAAGTAATTGGAGTTTTATAGTACTGTGTGCTTTAAAAGTAGTCCAAATAATATTTACATGAGAGACTATAATACAGAAATTGTTCTAAAGGGGACATAATAAGTAATGAAGAAAATAAAATGAAGTTTGTAGCTCTTCTATTATTATAGAGTACAAGAGGGGTTCAAAATGGATCTTTATGATTCATCATGTGAACTTCACTGACTTTGAAAGAATGTCCTCATTTTTAGTTGGTAATTGAAATAAAGGAAATAATTTTCAATGACTTCACCAAACAAGCATTTTAGTTGCTAATGTGAGATATGCTATATTAGACCTGAATTTTCCAGAGGTACCACCTAAACATATTCTCAAGCAACCTTAAAAAAGAAGCATGAAAGGGATAGTACAATGTGCAATAAACTAATATATTTAAATGCTAAACAAATCAGTGAAGTACAGAAAAAATTGTATTTTCCACTCAAAGAGTGATCAATTGCCTTGACTCCCAAATCCACTACCCTTGCATCAAATCCTGTAAGTTACAAACGCCCTAACCTTGGATGTGGTCACATACCCAGCAGCTTCTCCTCCCTCTGCTGCTGAGCTAAGCCCCAAAGTCAACAACGCAGGTTCATTTGCTCCAGGACCAGATGCCAAGTCTCTGCAGCCACAGCACCCTGTTATCACTTCACATTCCTTTCAATCACACATGGATTATTTCCTAAATTTTCAGGGTGCCACCCCATCACTGGGGTTATTTTCACATGTGTTTGTTGACTTTTTTTCTCTCTGCTCTGCTAATATCAGTTCTCCTGTCTCAGTTCTCTGCTTATTTTCATGCTTGCAGAGCCTTACCTTTAATACCCTGATGAATTCCAGTAAGCTGTTTACCTTTCTCCTGGGCCATTGCTGGGGTTGTTCAACACAGATCCCTGAAAGGTGGCACTGACCCGAGCTGCTGCTGAAGTCACAAAACCTTCTCCCATTTTGTTTTTTTTTAATCCAATCCTTTTTTGCATATGCACCTAACAAACTGTTTAGCTTCACAGGCAGCTGGACACACAAATCTTCTTTTCTCTAGTGGCATTAAGGGCTTAATCCACTTACTTTTGTTACATTACTGTCTCACAGCCACCTTCATGACTGCAATTCCTGATATTTGCCCCCCTCAGACTACTGTCCACTTAAAACTAATTCCATGAGCAATGCTATGAAAAGACAAAAAATGCACTATCAAAAGCCCCCATCATGTTAAAGTAATTTTTAAAAGCATGGAGGACTCAGAAAAGCCAAAGTTCCATGTCAGTCCTGCCTGTCCAGCATAATTAATGGACAGCCAAAAGTCAGTCCTGGCTCGCATTTCTTACAGCTCCACCACTAACCCACCAAGAGGAAACTCCTGATACAGCCACTGCTCTCCTTTACACACTGGAAATCTACTCCAGAGGATGGAAACAATCTCTGCTAGGTGTTTCTGGATTTTCATGCTCATCAAAACAGGCTTAGCAGTCCAAGAAACATGGCCCTGAATCATAGTTCAACCCCATATAATTAATTTGCTATCCCACATCCCTCCCTCAACTGAGGACTGAATACCCAATTAATAAGTGAGAAAGGCATCAGCTGGGGAGGCTGTGGGAAGAAAAAAACCCATAACACAAAAATCCTGCCTCTTAAACTAGAAACTGTGTATCTGTGGCTAAAAGTTGAAAGAAAGATTCCAGTATTCCCTCAGGAGAAATGAATAATATATATGTATTTCTTTTTTAAAGGGTACTGTGTTTTCACATTTAGAAACATTCCACACACTAAAACTGACACTGAGTTCAAAGTTAGCATTCTAAGATGGACAAGGATGCTCAGCAGCAGGGCTCACACCATTCCATCCACTCCAAAAGATCAGAACAGCTGCAATTCCCACAGAGAATGCCCTGAGACCAGGTATTAAAGCCTAATTACTGTTTAGATGAGTACAGGGTTGGTCTCACACTCTTGGACTGAAGAGAGCAGCAGAAAGGGGAGAGGAAATTGAGTTGTGGCCCATGGAGTAAAGCTGACAAACACCACCTGCTTCTCCATCCTTGGCATTGACCCACCTGGTTTGAGATGTAAAGAAACTGAGCTTTGAAGCCAAGCTGTTAGAAGGCTCCAAGTTCCTGTATCAACTTTCCCCGGCTTGGAATTTTTATCTGTATATCCAAACAGGATTCCTTACAACCTTGAGTGTTTGCTAAGCAGTTCCTTCTCACAAATCCTTGTTACCGAGGCATTATTTTCTCCTAATGAATGCTTCCCACACTCGGCATTCCTCACCCCTTCCATCAGTGGGGGTTCAGCCAACTTTGAAGCTGCCCTTTCTGAGATCTGATGGATTCTACTAATCCTGTAGAGATAATCTTAGTATTTAAAACATACAAGATAAACAACTGGGCTGGGAAACAAATTTGTGGATGTTTCACCAGCCTCTCTCTGTGCTGAGTTCCACAGCTGAGTTCCACAGCCACAAGGTCCAGAGTGCCTGGTGTTCACCCCAGGGGTGGCAAGGATTCCTCTGATGTTATTCTCACCAAGACTGCCTTGCTTTATACTCTTTTTCAAGAACAAGGCACTCTTCCCCCTCTCCCCTCCTAATCTGAGGGTGTTTGAATACTGATAAATGGCCCTATTTATTGCAGATTGGGAGTTTTTATCAGGAGTAAATAGAAATTTTAACTCACAGCTGACCTCACAGTTACACAATTACTACCAATTCCACATTTAATCCAGAGATGGGTAAACTGTCAACCAGCCACAACTTTCCAATATGCAAAATAACCTGAGGGTTGCAGTCTGTGTCAGGGTGCACTCAGTAGTTAAACATCACTAAAGAGCAGACACAGCTTTCTCTTTGTCAAGGCTCATGTGGACAAACATGTACCTGTTGACAAAACTGTTTTTCTGTTACTCACACTGGTTCTTGCATAAATACCTGTAAAGGTATGCTCTACTCACACCTCTTTTTTAAGAATGTAGGCATCCCCATTTCACTCAGCAAAGTAAATGAGGATAAAGAAAAAAATATTAAGTATAGCTTTGAAAATTATTACAGCCTAACATTCCACACATTACTATGTATTGATTCAAAATCTGTGGCATTTTTATTACCACACACAGTGCACAATGGATTTCTTTAAAACTGGTTTTAAATCTGAATGGCATAATTTAGAACTACCACTCTGTTACATTTTCCACTATAAATGACTAAGAACTCTCAATATTAACTCCCTGTTAATACATCTGACTAGGAATAACTACTGAAATCTCTGGGATTACAGCATCAATATCGAGGCTTTTTATGGGCCTCCTCTAAAACTGAAAAGTCCCAATAAAATCTCTTGCACCCCTGCTATTTTTAGGCTGAGATTTTTCTTTTCTGCCTCAACTTAAAAAAGGAATGCTATTGTTAAGAGCTTGCACAGTGACTCTGTTTTGAGGCTTGTGCT